TATGTAATATTCTATTACGGGAGTTTTGGACAGAATGCTTTTCGGCGACAGTGAGAACATGTGACCTGTTTGTTTTATTTTTTCTAAACTTTTAATTCGGGCAACTATAGAAATTTCAGTTATTTGTGTATGGTCCAGTCTTCCTAAATTCAAGTCTTGTGATTTTGATTTATGGTTATAATTGATATGGCACATAATAATGGCTCGGTGAACAAGAAGAGAATTGTTCGGTTTAGCGAGTAGGAGTTACTTGACCCCGGAGTTCGGTAGATAACAGCTCGGCTTTCGTAGCAAAATGTTGTTAGTAGCTCCGCTAGGTATTGATCATTAGGCACGGAGTTCGGTGGAGCAAGTAGCTCGGTTAGATGTGGTTCGACAATTAGAGCAGAAGTCCATAAAAGGCCCCGAGCAAGTGGATTGATTGACCTGCTTTTAGCGTTTTCTTGGTAAGACAATCGTACTCACATGATTTTTGACAGACTAGAGTTCAGTCACCCATTCAAAATTTCATTAAAAACAATTTTGACCCCAAATTCGTTATTCTCTATCTAGGATTATTCCGATGTCATCCGGCTTTTGGGGTAACCCACCACTGGATTTGCCTTGTGTAGACAACCGTACCCACCCACTACATTACAGTTTAGTCAAAGTTTGTTTACCCATTTAATTTGAATTCATTGTAATATGGATTCGTCACGTCGAGACGATTGTAACCATAAAATTTCAGTCTTATATATAAAAACTAATTCCCCACTCAATTTTATGTCCAAATTTTCTACGCACAAACTCAATGTTTAACCTGTGTCTCGTTTCCTGATTAGGGACCATAGCGGTACTCGTATTACCGCTTTCCATACCTCTTTTCGGGCCTCCTCGAGCTATGACGCGGTGGTTCAGGCGCTTCAGATTGGTCTTCAGATTACCGCCTCGATCTCCTCCCTCATTTGGATAGAGTTGTGCGTTGAAGCTGTCATCACTCTCTTAACCTCTAACCATCATGGCACATGGCAGATTCAACACTCTCATGCACATTAGATCCATACTTCAGTCAATTTGATACCGGATTTTTCATATCTTCCGCGAGTGGAACCGGTCTGCTGACTTCCCCGCTGGTATCGAGTCCTCCACCCCCCAGAGGCGCATCATCTATCATGACGATATTCCTCTCCGCCTCCTACACTTATACGAACGGACCAGATGGGATACTGATGTAGGGAAGCGTACGAATGGGAAGAATAAAACGAGTAAACGAGATACTCTCTCGTAAAACACGCAAAACGAGATACTCTCTCGATAAA